CTATATCTATATCTATATCTATAGATCTATATATATATAATCTGACTCCAAAAGTACATATTGACTTAGAGCAAATCTGTGTTTCACATTAATTGTGGTCTCACCTACTTCAAACATTTACCTTCCTCGCTCACGTTTGCCCGCAAAGTAAGGTAGCTATGTGTAATCTTTAAGTTGCAAATGTAAATATTTCTGACAGATTTCTCTAAAGCAAATCTGGCAGAATAACCCTATTAAGAAAAATGCATCATCTTTTTAAAAATCAACTTATTGGAATAATTAGTAGAGCCAGAGATCTATGCAGTTCAGTTTTTGTACAGCTCCCAAATTTTACTGTAGTAGTTGACTTTAGTCCTACCCCTTCCAACCTTCCTATCTCTATTGTTGGTCATAGCGACCACCCATGTTATTAAAGAACCATAGAGGGGATTGGGAGGCAGAAAGGAGCTGAACCAAGCTGGACCTATACAACAAAAGGTGAGAACTGCATACAACTCCATTAGCTGATATCTCTGGATTACTTGATCATGTTGGCATATTTACTGAAGGTAACCTGTGTGTATGTGTTTCATCATATACTCTGTATGATTTTCCTAGGTTTTGACAGGGTTACATTCAACTTACTTATTTCTGTTTAATTCTGGCACAATTATGAAGGTCTGTGAAAAAAATGCTATTGTGTAAACAAAAAGTTCAGGCAAAGCACACTTTCCATATATCTAAAGTTTATTAATTGCCTTTTAATAATGTGTAAAACTATCAGCACTGCATTCACTCACAATGTTAAAAAGCAGATATACTGTAAATCTACAATGATCTGTTATCTGCATTCATGACCCATTGTATACCGAGTTCTCTTGCTTTCAAAGACAAACAAAAATATACAATCAACAGTAAGAATCTCTATGCAGTATGGTTTTACATACCAAACATTGTTCAGCAGGAAAATGTAATGCTGAAGTGCAATCCATTTTTGGCTATCTGAGCAGATCACAATAGCAAACTTTTAAGACAGCTTTGGTCTCTTCAACAGGCTGATGCAGTTATTAATCTATTATTATAATATTGTTTTTTAGCGGCCTGAGCTGTCTTGAAAACTTGCGGTTTTAAGCTATTCAGCCAATAAAGCTACGATCACTTCAAATTTAAATTGTGGGAGCTTTTAGTCATTCGTATAAGCTCATGGGAAAAGTCATATAAGAGGGCACTGGTACAGAATTCCCTTGGCCCTTTACATCTAGAGCCTCTTCTTTCTGTAGTGTCTTCTCTAGACATTGCTACAGTACTACTGGTAGTAATGTTTAAAGCCTGCCCCCTATTTGATATAGAGCAGTTGACTGAGTCAAAGGGCTTGATTTACTAAAGACAAATAGGCTTTTGCTTGTGCAAGGGAATTTTTTATTTGACTTAGTTAGTGTGGTAAAAATGGATGATAGAAGTTAGCAGAGCTTCAACTCATTCACTAAGCTAAGGCTAAGTTTGCATAATAGTGAAATTTCACTTTGCAAAGTATACCCAATCATGTGCAAGGCAAATATATAATTTAAAAAAAAACAGCAGTATTTTTGATTGCACATGACTGGATGATTGAAGTCAGCAAAGCATCACCTCGTTCAAAACTTAGTTAAACTTAAAGGGTTATTAAACCCTCCGGCATTTTTGCATATATCTACTGCTAGCAAAGCATCACCTCGTTCAAAACTTAGTTAAACTTAAAGGGTTATTAAACCCTCTGGCATTTTTGCATATATCTACTGCTAGCAAGCAGTAGATATATGCAAAAAACAAACAAACAAAAAACGGTTTAAACTTACCTGTGTGTTCCCCGCGCGCTCGCGGCCGTAAAGCATCTTGGGTGGGGGGATGCGCAGTTCACATTTTCGGCCAGGAGATGAGGAGAGACACAAGGTAAGTATATGGGCGCGTGCACCCGCATGCAGACACCGTGGGACAGGAAGTGCCAGCAAGGACAGAGGAGTTAGCACTGGATCGGAGACCCGCAGCAGCGCTGGAGGGACAGATGAAAACGACAGGAAAGAAGAAGAAGGTCGGATTAAGAAACATCATTTAAGGTAAGTGCTTTAATTAACATGGGGGGGGGGGGGGGGTTTAATGTCCCTTTAGGGAA